GTGGTGCAAAGGGAGATTTAACTCACGTTTACAACAGGGTTAAACTAAACAAAGATCATTTTCTCAAATCCTTGGTGAAAATAAAACGTTCGAGCTCCACCGACGCACAGCCAATCCAAGACAGCAAAACAAAGTAAAGAAACTCTAAGAGCGAAACTGGGCACCAGGGCCTTCGCGGTTTAAGCCCGCGAAGACTCGTCAATAAGGAAGTAATTCCTTAGCATGCTTCCTGCAAAAATTAAGAGTCGTTCACTTGTGTTTTCAATCCTTCTTTCTTAGAATGGCACAAGGAGGAAGAGATATAATGAGTTCTGCGTCGAAAATTACACAACAAGCCCCTGGACGTCCGTCCGTGACAACTGGAAGTGCGTGGATTTTAAATGGACCCTTTCCGATTGACGACGGTAATCTTTACCAAACATCTGAACAAAAACCGATCAACCAAACGTTCCTGGCTACTACAAACCAAGTGATGAGACCAAGAGGGGGCAAAACAAGTTGGCAAGCTAAATTTGCCCCGCGTAAATGGCTTGGTAAGTTCAAAACCGACGAGTGTTACAGCATAGAGAGTGATGCATTTTATGAAGTCCCAGTTTCTGCTGGCAACACCAAGTTAATCCTGATACCAACAGAATATTTGCACGATCAGAAAACTCTTTCAAGGTGGCGAGATAACAAATTCCAGTCCAAACGTTCCCTGCCTTGTAGTCAAGAGGAGAAAGTGTCACAGTTTGATAGAGCTGATGCGAAACCAGATGAGCTCTACTGTGACGTGCTAACCGTCCAGTTTTCTCGGAAGCGTTACCTCTTCTGCGTAGATGATCACGAGTCCTATTTTTTGGAATCCAAGAGAGACGAAGTTCAACTAAGAAATTTGAAAGATTTTCAGCCGAATGAAATTCCAAAGGGTGCAATCATCCTCGACAAAAACGAGTGCGGCGTAGGATTGTTGGCCTTTGACGACAAGGAAGATATTCGTCCATTATTTTTCCCCCAAAACTTGCTTGGTAAGTATTCTCCATTTGATTCTGGGATTAACTTTGTAACCTTGTCTTTTGAAGCAAGATTATAACCCCGCTGCTCGTGTGCAGTATGAAGATCCTAAAGCACCTTGCTCTGATCAATCTAACTAAGTTGATCTAACGAAGTTTGCAGCCTGGGGTGTATATTAGGTGGGACACTGAATGAGACTATTACATTTCAAGAGTAAATTTACAAACCATCTAATTCAACATGCACAACCAACATTTTGAAGTTATTAAGTGACTCAGGAATACTTCTGATCATTTGGATAACTTTTCCCATGTTAAATGCCTAGTAACGATGGCATAGTTTTCCCGATTTCAATACAAGATGAGCCATGTGTGTAAGAAACAGAAATAACCTTTTCTTGCCTCGTAAAGAACCAGTTTATCCATATATTGATATTCAACAATCCAATCTTCATATCCATGACATAATTTAAAAGTTAAAGGATCCAGTTTTTAAGGGTTTTTTTTTTATTTTTAATTCTCCCATGTGTGAAGTATTTCCTGTAATGCAACCACATGGGTGTTTGCAATGGGCAAATAATGGAAATTTTGACTGAGAAAGTGACCCTACAAAGTAAAATTGGTACGTAAGAGCAGTTAACAGAAAATATGCACAGGATACTTCGTCTTACAGGTTTAGCTGTTCTAATTTTATTTTTGGTTATCAGATTTTTACTTACACTTAACAACTTTGTAGATTCCAATGAGCAACTTCCTGTCAGTGGTTCATCTAATAATAATCCAAACCAGCCTGAAGGAAACTTGTTCTTAAAGGAAGACAATCTTGAAGGTTCAGATAAATATGGTAAAGATCAGGCAGAAGGTCAGTTGGAAAGAGAAACGCCCAAAACATCAGAGCGCCAAGAATATGAAAGACAGGGTAAGAATATCTTTTTTCAATATTATCTACCCTTGTCTGACCTGCCACAAAAAATACCTTTTAAAATCCAATTCTTTCACTTTTCTTCAGTTTCTCCTTTCACCTTGCTCCAGCCCCAACTTTCCTAGCTTCTCTGAAACTTCTGCCAGGTTTTCTTGGCCTCATAGAAATTTTGTCTCATCAAAATAATTTCACATGACCTCAAATTGCTATTGAGTAACTTATTACTACATGATGAATGCGACTTAATAACTAATACTTACAAACATAAGTTAATAATTTGTGATTGTGACAAAGTAACTGGAAATGGAGCGCTTGTAACTGATGACAGTATATAAGAAATTTTTGATTACCACTTTACATCTAGGGATGGGCACATTTAACTTACCATCCCAAGTTACTGAAGTTTTGATGACACAAGTAATGTATCCTATATAAGCCACCTGCATGCTGGTTAAACTGGATTTTACTCTGGATAAACCCAGCATAGTTTTACATGAAGACAAAAAAACAAAATAGCAAAACCACACACACGCAAAACATGCCTTCTTAAAATCACAATGAAAATATCTCATTTGCTTTCTTTTCCCTTGAATGTAAAATTTTTATATATCTCTCTGTTACTGACCTCGTATTTAAAGTCTGCCAACCCAAAGCTGTTCATTATAGCAAGAATTTGAGTTATGTTTGCATCGCATACAAATTTCACATTATTATTATTATTAAGAAATGTTATGAAATAACTTCCTTGAGAGGATATCATTACTTTCATCTACAGGAAGATTACAAAACACATAATCCATACAATTTATGTTGCAAATATCACCAATTGAAAGTAATTTTACTTTGTCAATCCCATTCACTTGCACAAGCTTTTTGCCACAATGCAAATTCTCCTGAGAATGAGAAACAAGAGGGCAATGCTGAAAACAACCAAGGACAACCAAGAGGTTGTGGGAATGGGAAGGAGGAAAAGCCTCAGTTACGCAAACACCAGCATCAGGCAGAACAATGTTCAGCGCTGCAAGAGACTGAACTTGGTAGCGAGAAACAGCAAAGCACTCAAATCATAACTACATTCAAGAGGTGGAATAGTGAACAACAAGCCACTAATGAGAAGCCAAGACCTAATAGGTCACTCAGTGAGAGGGGTCACATACCTCTAGGAGAAGGTAGTAAATATTCAACCCTCCATGTGCTTCTTCATCGTACATCTAGAAAGGAACCATGATCTGTATGCAAAAGTTTCACCAGAATAACAATAGTTTTCACATGAAATAATTGTTCTCAGACCTCGCAAAAGTAACTACTTCTCAATAATCACTGCAATTACTTCTAGTGTTGCTAATTCCTGTTGCCTTATTTCTCCAGCCCTATAATCTGCCAATTCACATGATCCAACCTCACTACTGGTACAAAGAAAGGAAAAGAACCATTTATACTTAATAAAATAAATCAAGTTCAGGCTCCCAAATACACATTCTGCAAAAATATGTATTTAAAAAAGTTCCTTGAGATGGTTTTAATTTTTATGCCAGCCTGATTTTCTTTTCTTTTCAAAAATAAGTACAAACTAGCTATTTTTTTTCCTCATGTGTGTAGTGGGACTACATAAAAACAACAGCTAAAAGAGATAAAATTTTGTATTCCCACTTTGTTTTTCAAGGGCCAATTACAAGTAGGTCTCATCATTTTATATACACCCAACCCCAAACATATTGAACATGAAATATTGGGTGATGATAAGTCACAAAAGTTTAACATGCATAGATGGCTTGTTGTTTGACAAATTTGATTCATCATTAAGACACTGCTAATAATAATAATACTTTTTGTTACAGAGGAACTGGTTTCAGTGGCTGTTTTGAGACATATCAATGTAATGGACCATCTTAAAAATCATCTGGACAAGTCCGTAAGGGGCATTAAAAACTGGAGATACCTAGCAGATCTTAATGATGTCCCCATGGAGGAGCAGCTCAAATGGGGATTAGGTGAAGATTATTCTAGGTCTGAAAAGATGTTTGAAGCTCTCACATGTGCAAATCCCAACCTCCACATGAGTGTTCTGGTACAACATCTGAAGGACCTAAACATCAACAACGTGGCAGATTACATAGTAGCACTCAAACTTGAAGGTATGTGTGCTCTTAGATAATATGTATTGTTGCACAGGTCCTTCAGACCCCCATCAATCAAAAAATGGACAATAGTGTGTTGGATAGTGTTGGATAGTGGAGTCCATTTGGTTATAGTACATCACTATTGGATGGAAACTAATCTGGAAGATAGAGTTACTCTGTCTTTGATCAATTGGAGGCAAAGTCAGGTAATGAGTACCTAACTTTGTCAGTGATGTGTTAATCAAGCGTCAACACCACCCCCCCCCTCCCCCCTTCCCCCCCAAATCAGGGCAACTCCCAAGGAATTTGAACTCTTGGAGATTGATTTGTTCAAAATCCCGCCTCTGGGGTCAAAATTGTGTTAAAATGTCCCACTCAAGTGCAGGATTAGATTGTTAATTATTTTGGTACAAGGAAAGATAAGCAACTGTGACTTTCTTGTAGACCTTTTCTTCAGTGCTACTTGCTTGCAAAAGTGAATGTTTTACAATTAAACACTTCCATATCAAACTGTAAAACACCTTTATTCTGCTGGAAAGAGTTGACAGTTCAAATTCTCCACCCCCTTGGCATGGACAACTCCCTGAGTTGCCTAGGGGAAGGGGGGATGTTGAAGCTTTGAATTGATAGGAAACCTAAATACATGCTGAAGGGTAGACTGTGATAGACTGATAATTATCTCATATAAAAAGGATCAATTGAACTCTAAGAAAGAATAAGCTAGTTACATATTGTAGGACATTAACTGATCTTAATTATGTTTTCCTTGAGAAATTTTATGGATTTGCCCCACTTAATCAATGAGACAAGAAATGGACAGTAGTACACGGGCATGCCTAAATATACCCATCACCTTAATGGCTGAATAATTGTTTACACATAAAAGCTTCACATGGATGTTGTATGAAAAAGAGGATGCAACACTGCTTATCAGAGGTTTTATATTACACTTTGGTTCGTATGAACTCACTTGTACATAACATCTTTTTTTCCATGATAGCAAACATGACAGTTGAAGAGTTTTTTGAATCTCCAAATCGAAACACCATTGGCAAAGTCCTTATGATGCTGGATTTAATGGACAAAGAAAAATGGTGGAGCCTGGGAATTAAAATTGAGTTGGATGCTAAAAGTCTTAAGCGCATTAATGTCGACTGTAAAAATCAACAGGAAGATCCTGGAAGTCATGTGATTAACATAATTTCCACATCACAACCCACAATGATCATTGGTCAGTTCAAGAAAAAGTTGGAAAATATAGGACGTAAAGACATTGCTGGGAAATTGAAAAAGCTACCAGGTTTGTAAGCATTTATAACCATAGGAATATGACTTGTTTTTGCTAATATGTTAGTAGGATAAAATAGCATGCGTACACAGTGATACACATGAGCTTCCATTCAAACAATTGGTTCAAGTGTTGACACATCACTCTGCCTCACAGCAGAGATATCCCAAGCTCACATCTGGAGCAGAGCAAAAAAAGGCAAGTATTATTCATTCAAAAAAGCATCAAGTATTGAGTGATTCTGATGGTGACTTTCCAGAAGACATTGTCATCCATCTGTTTGACAATCAATCAAAGCAAAAGGCTGGTTTCATTCAGTCACCACACTACTGACCACAACAATTGAGTGAGGCAAGATATCACTAGTGAAAGTATTTCTTTATTAGGCCCCACTGGCTCATGTGAAGAAAAACATTGGACAAAAATCCCTGTATGAGGGCCCTATGTGATGGCATGAGCAGGGACATACAAAGCTATAAAACCCTGCAAGCTGCAAGCTACAAGCTAAAAGACCAAAGGAAGATAAAAAATGCTCACTGAATGAGTTAGGCTGTGCCACATGGAAAAATATTTGCCTCTAGGTCATGATGCAAGGACATCACTGCATAATGCAGTGATCAATTTGAAGCTATAACATCACCCCCTCCAGGCAACCCATGGGCATTTGGCTGCCAATTGTGCCCTGTGGGGTGGGGAATTTGAACTCTGCCTGGCTGAGGTGGGGAATTTGAATTGCAAGTACTAAGTCTTTTCAGAGGAATATATGTTTTTATCCTTTAATATGGAGGTTTTCAAGGTTAAGAGTTCACTTTTACAAGCAAACGGCTCAGGAGAAAAAGTCTGCAAGGTCTAGGTTTTAAAGCTTGGTCAATCTGAATGAAGTCACAGAGGCCTATCTTTTCTGTATTTTGAACATAATTTTGACCCCAGAGGCGGGAATTTGAACGAATCAATCTACAAAATTCAAACGCCCGGAGGTTGCTAGGGGAGGAAGGAATATTTGTTGGAGCTTCGAATATGATAGACGCAATGAGGTCAAAAGTACACACCTGTTTAAAATGAAATATGGCCCAGCCTTTTTTCTTACAATACCAAGCAAGTTCATAACTTCACATGAATAGTTTGCGCTTTTTGTTTTCGTTGTAAATTCGTCTGGACTTTAAATCTGACCTTCAACCTTAGTTCAACTGAATAAGCAGTTTAGAGTGAGTCGTGGTTATTTTTTTGCTCGTGTAGTAAAAAAAAAATACGAATTTACACCGTGGTTGAAGCCGATATAAGCGTATCTCAAGATGAAAGTCACTACTTACCTTTTGCGTGGATCGTTCAGTGTTTCTTGAAGTCTTTCCGATACGAAGGTGACACATACTGGAGCCCCAAACTCGTTCGTCGCACAAATGTTCATGTAATTATTTTGGCCGTAAACGAGACAGAATCAGAAATCCCTCGTAGGAAAACGCTGCACGGGCGCTACGAAGCAGTTTTTTTAGATGGCGTAAAGCAATGTGGTGGACATAACCTGAGAACGAGGTTTGAGCTTTGGCATCGAGAGAGTGTAATCAGGCTTGACGTGCTGGGCCGCGCATAAACGATACCCAAACTTGTTACAGTTTACAATTATCTTTCGAGTTAATTTAAAATATTTATTTAAAGCACAAACCTAATACTTTTAATCGCTTTAATTGTTAACGTACTAATGAAAAACAACAACCACGGGAACGGTTAAAGGTTACTGGCTGATTGATTCAATTTGATTAATTAATTCAATTATTTTATGTAAACATTGGTGAAGGGAACGATCAGTAGATTACTTTAGCGGACGAAAAAACCATGCTTTTCTGACAAAAAGAAAACTTGTGAAAGTCACTACCACATATCTTTAATTTCAATCAGTCAAAAAACTTGCGATCCATAAAATGCCTTCTGTGGTATATCGTTCCGAGGCAGAAAACTTATGAGGTTTGTTATCAGATGTAAGCGGGAGAAACCTTGTAAACAAAGATCATCGCGTTCAAATGCGAATATTTATTGAGCGACTGTGAGGCGAAACTTGACATAAGAATGGAAAATAGGGGAATTTGGCTCGTGCAGGTAGAGAAACATTTTAATCGCAGCGTTAAAATTTGATGAATTTTGCAACCGGAATTTTGATAAACGCAGGCTTCCATTTAATACTGGTTTTGTGGAACGTCTGAGGTATGCGTTTATTATTCTGCGGAGTTGGATGGTTGCCATCATTCTGGATTTCTCCGTGACTCAAGCTAAGTCACAAAGTGACTTATTCCTTTTCTGTTAACTTTGCTGTGGTACTTACGTTAGTTCCCGCATTTCATCTAGCGATTTTAGTGTTTCCAATTTGTCATGGCATCAACTTGTTCTAAAGTCTTAATCTCCATGTTAAGTAAACAATGAAAAGCACCCAACAGCGATTTTTGCTAAAAACCGCAATGCCTCCAATTTGTTCCCTCTGAACCTCAAATCCGGCCAGAATGTAGACTAAATGTCCTTGGAAATTTCATAGAATGACATTTCAAAGAAAAATGAATTATATAAACATCCATCAAATGTCCTACGACATGCGATATTTGGTGAAAATGAGAAGAGTGAATACAGAAAAAGTTACTAGGGAAGATAAACCATTCGGCCAATCGAAGCGAACCTACTTTTCTTCTGAAAGATGATGAAATCACGACCTACTTAATATAAGATAAATATATGATTGGTCTTATCGACTGAGTTAATTGAGCAAATTAGACATCGACATCTTGACCGTTTGACCTTCGAATACTTAAGATAAATCAGCTTTCCTTTGTTAAAAGAATGCTTAACGGATGAAAGCAAATCCACAACTGTATCGGAAATAAACCGGGAGTGAAAATCATTCATGTGCGAAGGTCACTTAACCTTATGTGTACTAGTATAAAAGACAGTCTTCTTTTTTACGTTAGTAATAATGGTCCATTATTGTGAAATCAACTCATTTTTCAATAGCTCTGAAAGCAAGGGCAGGATACTTGAACAAGTATTGTATTTCAGCAGTTGTTAATCCTTTAACTAGTCAATGCTTTGATTACATGTCTTTTAACAGAAAAGGCCATGATCGGCAAGTTGCTTGACAACCTAGAATTGGCCCGGGAAGTGACGTGCATGCTCAATCACTCTGCTTCTCCCGGAGTCAAATACTACGAAGATCTGGCTGCTGAGTGCGGAATTCCAAGGGAAACGTATGAAAGTCTGCAGCCGCCATGTGCCGATAGCCCGACACAGAAAACGATTGAAGAAATTGTCCAACGTAAACCAGACTTTACGGTGGAAGAGCTGTTCAAGAATTTGATTGACATGGGGCGTTTGGACGTCATAGAGGCAATTAGGCCCTATTACGAGGGTAAGAAAATCATATTGTAAAGGAAAGATGTATAATCACACCTTTTATCTGGTTCAAACTTATTGATTATCTTGTCATAACATAAGTTATCCTCGAGCCTAAATGACAAATATCACTGATCTAGTTCAACAGGCTAAGCTTGAAAGCAATTTGACTTTTGACCACACGTTTTGGTTATTTCAGCGAAGTTTAGAAACAAATACAGTATTCAAGGTTGGATTGAAGGATATGTTTATCTCATCTCCTCCCTTTCCCTCGTCCTCCCCACCCTACCAGCTTTTCCCATCTTCAGTCCTCTCAAGGACCCTCGTTAAATAGAAGTCAGCAAGTTGAGTTTGGTTTATGAGTGCGCACAAGTAGCCCTGCGTCTCGAAAGTCAATTGAATTTGAAATTTGAATAAGAAGCCTTTAACAATGAATACAATGCCTCCTGAAATTAAAGCCTAGCTACTTTGTGTTACTTTGAAAAAATTGTGAAACAGATGACAGTTGTTCTGTTGGATCTGAGAGTTTGGAGCTATTTCGAAGCCGTTTTAGATTTCGAGTTGAACATTCAATAAGAAAATGTTTATTTACTTTTTGGAATTTTACTTGTTTAAAGTGCAACTCGAAATCTTATAATCTTAAAACTGAATTGATGCGAATCAACATTGAGTGGATTCAAAGGTTTTCCAACTGAACTTGATTGCTATCTTTGTTTTCTCACATTTCAGAGAAAGACGTGTTGGCCTTGGAGAGAAAGCTGAGGATTACGGAAGAGTGAGCATTCACGTAAACAACATTCCTGTTACTTGCCTGTAGTGCACAACGTACCTTGCATATGCTGACGTCGTTGATCTATCAATCATAGACATGAAGTAATTGTTTCAGGATCTAATTCATTCATTCAGTTATTCAATCAGTGTGTGTGGGGAGTCTTAAGATATCGCGTAGCATGAAATCAGTCTAGGAGAGTTTTACGTTAAGGGATTTGTGATTTTTTTGTGCGTGCTCCACGGGTACAAACTTTAGTTTTGCATTTCGAGCCTTGATGACTGAAATTTATGCTGGGAACTATACTTTATGCTTTGGAGACCTACCCTCTAAGCAGCTACAAACGTAGCCGCAGAAGCAAACGTACTATTTACCGGCTCTAAAAAAGTAACTTTTGACCGTTATTTCTCGATGAGTCGAAGTAAATCTTCAGAAGCAATATGCTGTAACTCAAAAGGAACAAGACGCCATAGAAATCCAACCAAAACTCCATCACTACCCCTATCCGTGTAGAATTTATTCAAAAGGAAGCTTCTCTTTATCGAACTGAAGATCGTCAACTTTCTTTAGCAGATCCGGCAAGAAAAATCCACAAACATCACAGAAATTACAAGCCATTCAAAATTTTTAAGCCACTTGGTAAGCCTAATAAGCTTTTTGAGACTCCCAGCATAACATTTTAATTACAATAGATGAAATATTGATTGACACCTAAATGATAGAAACGCGAAATACGTTACGGAGCGCTTCTCTTTACACGAGCCATCTGAATGGCTACCATTTACACTTTTGTCGTTTCATTTCGCTTACCCAAGTCGAGAAGCATAGCTTTCATTTTATTTTTCTGCAGTTCAAACAAAAAATTAACGAGCGGAAATTTTTATCGGTTATACCGATGGGTCCAAGTTTATTGAAATCGTTGAGACGTCGCCATCTTGAAATGAGCTTAGGTAAGAATGAAGGTTGAAATTGTATCAGTTTAATTTGAGTTCATTTATTCATTTTTGGAGTGAAAAGTGACGTAGATTTTAGTATGCTGAATCATGAGTTGCAGGCTGTTTAGTTTATATCATACATTTATTACTACCTTGTTATGCAATTACTGTAACATATCAAACTCATGGGGTACAAATAGTCTTAACATGAATGTAGTGACCACGCCCACTTCAACACCCCACTCAAATCGAGTGTAATTTTCGAATGTTTTACCATCGTGCGGATTCTCTACGGAAAAAGCGCTCAATGTACCTTTGAAATATTAAATTATAATATTGTGGCTTTCTATTTCGCTAATTTTCTAACTTGAAGGTAAAGTTTTTCCCTCGTCATTTTTACCTTTTCTCCGAGCAGTTGCGTGAAATTAACAAGGCGTTTTTGATCAAAACACGACCGAGCGAAGGGTCTCGGGCGATATCTCTTTTACGCAGGCGCAAATTAAAAATGTCCGCCAGAATCAAAAAGAGGAACAAATTTCCTTTGTTTTGATATGTAAAGTGTCGGACAAAAAGCAGATTTACCCTCGTCAAATGGCGTTTCAAAACAGCTGTATCTTCCTCCTTTTGATTTTTTTCCTGTTTTGTAAAGCGCGAAAGCAGTAGGAGAGGGATCGGGAAACTCAGAAAGCGCTTCGGGATTAACCTGCCATCGTTTACTTACAAGATAAACAAGTAAGATTTGTGAAGTTCGTTGAAGTATGAAGTCTAAATAAAAGCCTTTTTTAAGCTTGTTTGCTGGATTTTTCGTAAACTTCCCTGATTAATTTTTCGTTTCAGCTTACTAATTTATACTATTTCAAAGCAATGTAAAGACGAAGATGGAGAACCATGAGTCGGTCCTTTCAACAATCGTAAACAAAGTGTTTGAGCAATCGGGTATACGAGGTGTAATAATCAATAGCCGCATATCAGAAGTCTTCAGAAAGAAAGTAACTGTCTTCAGAAAGCTGTCAAGAAAGCTAGTGATCGTGGCGGATGGCAATTAAATGCACTTCTTAGCAAGTTGGAAACGGGCCCTCGGTATCGATTTAATATCATATCGATCATACAGTTTTGTATCTTTATTCCATGAATTCGCCTTTCTAAAGAGGGTGTATGTTGAGTATTCATCGCGAAAGCGCTTTGTTTTTTTTTATTTCCCTCTTTGGCTCGTCTGCCATTTTGAAAATTCGTAACGGAGAGCATGCGCATTACGTGGGGTTAGTGGTTGCGTACACCTGGAACCGAGAAAAACAAATGTTCGTCGCATTGGGGAAAGAGTTTGATATGATGAATTTGGAAGATGAATTACAGTTCTTGAAGGGTACTGTATTTGTTATTAACCTCTAACAAGTGTTGAAAGACAAAATTGGCATCAAGCAAGAATTTTCTGTATATGTATATTTAACTTATTTAAGTGTTGGAAAATGAATGGAAATACTATAACAGCATTAGCCAATTAGTTAAAAAACTTGTGAAAATTGTAAGCAGTTGATAATTTCCTATTTCGATGACGGTCTTACTTTGAAAGCAGAGTAGTTGTTATCTTTTCCTTGTGGGGGAGCATAGTCCATGTAATTCCACAATGTTTGTATTAAGCTGTTGGCGATTATGGCATATTCTCCAATCGCGAATTGACATGAAAGCAGATGTTCAGTTTCTACAATAATTGGAACTTGCGGTAAGATACATTTCAATTATGATAATCCGCTTGATGAATAAGAGGGTAATTTGATCGGGTAAAAGGTAGTCTCGAAAAGGAGTTTCCTGGAAATTCCTCCTTCTTATACTTTCGATTCTTTTCAGGCTCATTTTTAGGTTAATTTCATGTCGAACCCCCGATCAGGAAAATAAATTCTTAATTTTTAATTTAGCATGTTCAACATCTCTTTCTGTAAAGTGACTAAAGGTGTAAAAAACTTGTACTTTTTATCTTCCGCACTGCATTTATAATCAGTTAGCTTATATGAACAACAGGTAGTTCTTTATGGGGCGTTACCTCGGGTACGCCCTTCCTTCCTCGAATTCTTCGTTTATTCTGCTGTTATGTGACAAACCTCAAAGGCTATTTTCTCTTTAGCTATTTTTCTAAGTGTACTTCTAATTTACGCTAAGGGTCCTTTATAATTTTTATATTTCCAGTCGGTTTTTTTTTTTTTTTGATCGATCTTTATTGAAAAAGTATGAATTTTTGAGGTAGAAAGTCGTTTTAGAAAGAGTCAACAAACTGAAGGTACATACTTAGTACTTATGCACGTTGTACTGAGTTTGAAAGGAAATAAAGAACATATCAACTGTAGATGGAGTGTTTGAAAATTACTCTACTAACACAAGAGAAATATGCTTCTACAGTTAACAAAGTTGACGTCTTGTCTTCCCTAACGGCATGGAAGATGTTATTTTTTTGATGGGTTTGATAAGCTCTGTCCAAACCTTGTGTGAAAATACATATTATAATAAAGTTCGGATATAACGCGCGCTGTCATTGGTTGAAAGAGCGTGCTCTATGAGAGTTTATATAATAAGCTCAGTTATGCACGCATTCTGATTGGTTCTCACTTATGATCTACTGGAGGACAGACGTAAAGATGACGTCATCATCAAAACTTTTTTTAATTCTTTATTATATAAAACAAATAGATTCCAAGTTTCCGTGCGTCTGTTCAGTTATAGATCACGGAGGACGTCAAAATGTGGTAAGAACATCAGTGACACACTCGGCTGTGCCTCGTGTGCCACTTTTTTGTTCTTACCACATTTTGACATCATCTGTGATCTATTACTGAACAGATGCACGGCATCTTGGATCTATTTCTGATAGAGCATGCTGACGACACTTTTGTTCGCTTTGGAAATTGAGTGTGTTTTGAAAATTGAAGGTAATTCTTGGGGAATTTTAACGGATTCTTTATTATAAAACAAATAGAGAAGCCTTGACTGTGCTCTGTTCTGTCGTGACGCACTTGGGAAGCGGCTAAAGCAAAATGCAGTGCATAGATCATTTATCTTGGTGATGAGACTGAATACAAGAGAAAACAAATAATTTTTACTGTAAATATATCCTACCTAGTTATCTGTTTAGAATTAGAATTTTTAGCTTTTTAAATTTTTTAATCTGTTTATAACTGAAGAAGGCCGAAACGTAGTTTAGATGGCCGGAACAGATTAAAGTTGGTCTTCTCTCTCTTTTACATGGGTTTTAGATACTAAACATTTTGTAGAAGACACTGGTATCCTTTGGATCCTGCAACTGGGAGCTACTCGTTCGGGGACCCTTACACTCTTTCTATGTATATAGGCATTTATATATCGAACACTGTCCAGTAATATGTAGATAAACTGCATGATTCTTAGTCCCATATGACTTTTTTCTGTGATTTACATCAGTTGATATCTAGTCTTGATGTGAGAACATCACAACGCATTGTTATTTTTGATCAGCGCCTACGTTCGCTTATCTTGAAGTCGGTACAGAAAAAAAATATTCATTTCTTGTGAGAACAGCCTCTCTCTCTCTGAGTTGTTTCATTCACACAGTTTTCAAAGAAAAATTATTCTCTTTACATGTGGACGATTAGTGCTCAACTGTAAAACAGAAACCCGGAAGCGTTTTACCAAATTGTCAGGTAAGCAACCTATTGGTGCTGTTTCCCTAGAGCCCTCTAGTACTAAGTTTTATAAACTTATATAAACTTCTTCTTTTTCGATGTGTCGAGGCTTTTGCCCTTATTAGGGGTTGGCACCAAAAGGTAAGCGGAAGGACAGGTGGGGCCTGGGACCCCGACGGTTTTGTTTTTCACGCTGGACACCCTGACTGAGAGTACATCCATATCTAAGTAACACAAGGCTTTCCAATTGCATCCAGTAAACTATGAAAAACTTTCATATCATTTTAAACTAAAGCAAGCGAAAAAATCAAGTAGCAGGTTGGCGAGCCAACTTAAATATGATGGTGGATACTTCCTTCTTCTTCTCTTAAAATCTGGCCTTTTATTATGTCTTGTAGTAACTGACAAGTAATCGAGCGATAAAATCAATTTTAAACAGTTGATGTTATGCAATCCCGTTTCGATCAAACACAGACGTTACTTAAAATTTTCAGTGTTGACAACTTTTCGAATTATGCTTGCTATATAGTGAAAATAATCGTTTCATTAATGGTTTCTCCGCAAACCTATGTGTTCCCAGAATCATCGTTCACGGGGTATTCGAGATCTATTACATATAACTTTGACATTGACTTCTCCAGTTCTTGGGGTTTCTTCTAATGTTAGGGACCTGGGTTGTCTCAACCAAAAATTGTCACCAAATACATAAATTTGACATCCCGCTCCTTCTCTTTGTCTTACCAGCTAATTCCCACCTTCTTTCTTCTCTTTAAGACTCTTAAGCCTCCATTGCCTTGTTTCTCGCCCTCCATTATAGGTGGTATCATCTCCTCAAGACTTAACCCTTTGAGTCTGATACTTTACCCAACGAATGTGCTACCTCTCACCCTACTAATGTGCTACCCTGATTTAAACGGAGTTTCAAGGGATTGTTATTATTTATGGTCTTTATGGAGGCCCTCCACAACACAAAATTGCGCTGGTTGATTATTGACTCTAGATCTTAACTGTACAATGCAAAACAAGTTTATAATTTCAAAGCGGGTCATCGAAAACATCCTTAGTATTATCAAAAATTTGAAAACTTTACAGATTAGAAGTATCGCTCACTAAACGAACGAATTGCTTTGGCGTTGGCCCCATTCGATTCCAGAAGTTCTAAAATTTTCGTTAGTCTAGTCGAAACTCAGTTCTCATAAACATACATGTAGAGTTGACACTAGAACTGATTTATATCAATTACTGAAATAAATTCTGAAAGAATACCGGTGAGCGAAATTTATCGCCGTTTTCCTTGGTAATTTAAGTGCTTCCTTTCCTGAAATATCGCTCAGGTCTTAACAAGCCTTGCCTGTGGCTTCTTTTAGTAACTCAAAGCAACTGCAACGTTAATTTCCGAGTCAATTCCTATGAGTAAAAATATTTATTTTTTTTATTTGAATACTAAACTTCATAAACAATGGAATGGACTAAATTTCACAAATATGCGTTTCGTTAACAAACCAAAGAGTTATTGCTCAAATAAATAACATCTAAACATCAAAAACGGAAGAAAGATGTATCAAAGATCAAAGGTTCGGGAGTTTGTCCGCGGGAGTAGTAAACTGGAAGTCAGTCGAAAATTCATTATTCATTACAATTTTATCTTATGTCACTGGCAAAGACTTGTTTCGGAAATCCGAACCGCGTAGTGAATAATTCTGCGCAAATAAATTATGTACTTCCCTGCCAACATCAATCTGTATCATAAACGAACGTTGAGTCAGTTCTAATGCAGACTTACCCCGGCACTAAATCCAAGTCAACCGCCCTCCGTGCGATATGTGTAGCAGCCTTTTGTACGTCATGTGGAAGACCAAGATTGGAAGTAAACCTCGACTAGCAAAGATCACAAGCCGAGAAAAATTAATTAACTATGGACACGCACCGTAGTTCGTTCTGTGAGTTTGTTTCAACTTCGAATACTGCATTTGTAGTGTTCTGATTGCGCAATCAACTTAGGTTATGAGCTCATACACCGAGTCACCTCATATTGAAATGCTTTGGGCCAACTGTTAGACAGAAGAAAAACGTTGATTGGCTGCTTAGTGAGCTCACACTAAACGGAGTGGAGGTCTATCTCATTCAACGATGAGTTAAAGAGAAAAGGAAGAGGAAGTTTTGACAGACTGACTGTAACGCTTTCTCTTTTCTCTGTGTTTCGTCTTACATATTTCTCGCAGAACGGGAATGACAAAAAGAACCCACTTTCTCTGGGCAGGTGAGTCAAGGCTCGTTACATAATCTTGCCTTACTGAAGGCAATTTTTCCCAAACTAATTTTTTTCCTTTTCTCAGGTCAGGGAAAGAAACACATGGAAGGACTTTCTCCATATTCTCAAGGTGTTTCAACTTACCATGAAATCTGCTGTTGTTATGACGTCCACACTTGTCTCCAGGGCCTTTAGTATCAGTTTGAAAAAACGGCCAATTTCCTTTATCGAAATTTTGCTGTTAGCGCAAACTTCTGCGGAATACAAATAGCTGATTGTAGTTGAACAACTCCATGTACGTCCTCGATGGACGTCAGTTCCTGTCGTTGGCAACAATGTTTAGATTAACTATCCTCACCAGACAATTCCTTATCAAAAGCAACTCACAGGCTCAAACCGTTCACAATAGAATAACATTACCTGGTCAGAGAAAGATTCTTGAACTTCTGCCATAAGCTTTTTAATACAATATTAAAGGGGTAATCATAAATAAGTTTGAGACCAGAAACACAGTGGCTGGCTAAGATACAGTAGCACCTCAACACTAAGTACTCTCAGGGAAAAGAAAAACTACAACACACAAACACACACTGCAACAGAACTGAAGCACGGAATGAGAGGCGGAGAGGCATTCATGGAATCACTGACAGTTCCTGTTAAAAACTGAGATTACTCGGAGAGCTTGGCTGAATATCTGGGGCTCAAAGAGGATAACTGGGATAACAAATTTTAAAATCACCGCACAATGATCTGCTTGACCGGGATAACTATGAAAACTGGGCAAGATAAATTTATCAATATACCTGATTCCTATATTCAAAAGATTTTCCAGATAGCTTGGTGAGATATTCTTGACACAACACATAAGTGAAGAAAAATACCACCAGAAATCCAACAGGGAACAGAACAAGTTTAAACAAATGGTATCCTGCAAAAAAATGTGAATAGTTGGATTTACTTGTGCATATCAAAAGACCTCCTCTTTCATACAATAGTTTACTGATTTCTTACAAACTTAAAGCAAGATTTTAGTTATATTTTAGCTACTACCTTTCAAGATTTAATTAATCGAAGTCATCCAATATACGTGATTTATATTTCCATGTAATTTAGTCTACAATTTTTTTTATTATATCATATCAAAGCAGCGAAGCCAAGAGGATGCAGCAAGAATCGGCTCAAGTGTCGTTCATCATTATACCCGTGCACAAATTTGATGGCAGAAATGCATTTGTCAAGAAATTAACCCCTTTCAGTCTGGAAAAGAAACGTTCCATGCCCTCCTGGTCTCAAAGTGAAAAAAAATCTTGGAGTCTTCCATTGCAAGTAGAAAGGTGCTGTGCCATGTTCTTTTCGACTTTGGCAGAGGAGATGGCTACTATAACACCGAGCCATACTGTCTTGTGTTTCTTGATGAAACCAAGATTTCATCCTCACTATAGTAACTGACCGTGATGGTGTAGCAGTTGAGAGTCACAAGATCTCCACAGAGAACAGAAACCATAGGGAGTTGTCCTTATGAACGAAGAAGGTGAGTTCGTGAGAATGGCTGTAGGAACCTCACGGCAAAAGAAATTGTATCCCTTGTTCCTGCCGACGCTGGCTCAAGAAATCAGTCTAATGAGTAAATTAGCAGTAGATGGGCCACAATAACTGGGGTGGGGGATACAGAGTTGAATGTATTAGGGAAAACTGGAGTATCCCGTAGAATGCCTGGACATCATTAATTATTCATCAGCATTGAAGCGAGAGATTTGAAAGCACTCGCGCCTTGAAAAGCCCATTGATTGAGAGACCCCTCTAGAGACAGTCCAAGTGAGTTTGTCCTGCAAATGATCCAAACAAGAAAACCTCGTCTTCCGTAGAAGAAACTGGTTGCGGATATCAACTTACCAGGCATAACTAAAGCATTGGCTGGTTTTCCAGGTAGTATATGATAACTCATAATTTCCAAGCTACTCTATTTGAAGAGTCACGTCCACTCCTCTTAGTTTACTGTAATATGTGAAGTAGACGCTCCTGCGACTTTTAAAATTGTCCACACAAACTCGACCTTTTTTGTTCAAGTACTAATGTTGCTTAGTTAAGATTTGTATTCACTGAAACGAACGCATATACATACATACCTACTAGCGTTCTATAATAAATGCTACATTCTGCCAATCATAACAAAAATCAACATCAAAAAGTATATAGAGGGTAAGAGGCTGTGGTGCTACAACGGTGGGAAGTATGGAGAGATTCTAAAGATGACGTTTCGACAATAGCTCTTCATCAAAGCACTCTGAAACGTCAGCTTGAAAATCTCTTATCGGTGGCCAATTTACATTATCGACTCTGTTGATAACACAAAGTGATCTTGTACGTAGATCCCATGAGAACTCAAAGAAAATGCACACAACTGACCTAACCCTAACCCTAAAATTCAACTGACGACTGGGCTCAACTTACTTGTTTACGCTCAACCCTTTACACGCTAGCATCAGTATTTATATTCTTCGTACTGTTCTCTGTACATTTATTTAGGTGCTGACTAGGAGAATCTTTCTGACAATCTAGAGTTTCTTTAGTTGATGATCATTTCCATTGTTCTCATGACCTTTATGTGTGATTCAGTGGTGATATTGTAAGGAGAAATTAGATGCTAGTCACTCTTGCGGGTTAAAGTATGAGAACAGAAATCATTCTCAATGGTTAAAATGTCTCCCAGAAGGTATTTCGAAGATTAGGTGGTATTTTTGCTAAGGTGTTGTACATTAAAGGCTTGGTATGTAGCTTTCGTCTTCGAGCTTTGATTTATCGGATTTGATCAGAGTATAAAAGAGCAATTTTTCATGTCGTGTGAGGTTGTACAAATAAGTACAAATAGTTTTTAAAATGTTTATTATTATTATTATTATTATTATTATTTCCAGCTGATGATATTGATATAATCCTGCAGGTAGGAGGACCTGTACCTTTATAGTTTGACAGTGAGGTGGAACTAGTGCCTTTTCTGATCCTCAAAGTTGGAAACAAGACAGAGGTTTTGAAATCAATCAAGTTCTGCGTATATTCTTATTACAATGGAATATTTTATGATAGACAAGGTTACTGTAAGAATCATCCATTAAGTTCTTACCATTGCCGCAAATCAGCTCTTTATTTTCGATGCAGTGTTTGCCTAAACACTTTCGATCATCTGTCTCAATAGCAGTCTCTTTCTGGCACAAAACGGCTGGCGTCACATTGTAATAGGATGCAAAAGGTGCGCGGTTTTTTTCAATTTCACACTTTTTCATTCCTAAGTTTATAAAGAAATCCAAGATAGCACGAGTAATGAGGCAGAAGCGACAAAAAAAAACGTGAGTAAACGTGACGGTGTAACAACTCGAGGTTTAATGTGAAGTTGTAGCAAAATGATGGTTCATTTTAAGCTAGAATACTTCTTGTTGTATCGAAAAGACGCTGACCTTGGTGTAAAGGTTGTTTATAATTTTTGTATAATAAAAATGCGACAAATGCATCATGTAAGTTTGCTTCTGTTCTTAATTCGCAATCAGTACACTTGTGGGTTTAACTTACCCCTTTTGCTAATAAAACAAAAAGACTTAAAATCTTAGCTCTGGGTTGCATTAGTATACGAGTAAATCTGTTGTCTTAAATAACTGTCATGATTTCAATATCAGTGGGATATTCAATTTCGGATTGACCGGCCCAATCACTGGTAGAAGGTCAGAGGCATTAGGCGACGCATTTCTGAATTGGCCAGCACATTCCATTGTGATGACGTATTCTGTGCTGTTTTACTTAAGTAAAAGCCAATTCTTCTGATTGATCGCTCTTTTCCTCAATGCTTCAAAGACGTTTTAAAATTCTACTGCCTTAAATACCATCCTGACCAACATCTTTGGAGTTTTTTTTAACTCAAGAGAGAAATTTCTCTGACAGTTAAGAGAGCAGTCTCTTTAAGCCTATGGCAACTCAAATATCTTTATTAATTCACTCTTAGCGTTCTGGGTATCCCCTGCAGAGGGGATACCGAAAACGCCAAAGTTTTGGGTACGAGGATACCCAAAACGCTGTGACGGCGCCCCGATAGACCCAAGGAACGAAATGGCTATCATTTATGTACCTATCAATTAGAAGCTATAACATCCCCCCCAGGCAACCCACGGGTACATGACCGACTACCGTGCCCGAGAAGGAGAATTTGAACCTTGACTGGCTGGGGTGGGGATTTGATCGAAAATTGTTGAGTCTTTCCAGCGGAATATAAGTTTTATATCTTCAGATAAGGTGGCGTTTAAAGTAAATATTTCGCTTTCGCTCAGGGAAAAGGTTTACAAGACTTAGGTTTAAAAGCTTGCTCAGTTTATAGAAAGTCTTGGTTCATGATTTTGCATTTTAACTAAAAAAAAAAATCGGGCGGGAGATTCAGTGAACAGAACTATTACGAGCGGGTGGGGGAAGGGGGGTAGGAGAGATTTGAACAACCCAATCTTTAAAGTCTTCAAAAGCTCAAATGGCCAGGGAGTTGCCCAAGGGGATGTTGTAATTTCGAATTGATCGATGCATTATGGAACTTCGTCTATTCACGGAATCATGATTACGGACCATGACCAGGGGCAGTAGAATTTACAAAGTATGTGAAAAACGTACTACTGTTTCTTGATTCTCATCATCTTTGGACCAGGAGCATGTCGGTTGAAGTTTCGATGTGCACGTTTAGAAAGCAACTGCCAAAGGGGCATGAAAAAAATGACTATCCGCAATGGATGCGTCATCCATCAACTCCTACGGCTGAAAGAAGGCTTTCTTGGTCACCACAACGCAAGTCGTAACTAAAGATGAAGTGTCCGCAATGCTTCTGATCCTTGGATAACGTAATAAAGAAAGCGTGAAACATTGTATTACGAATGGCCGGGTTCCTAGCGAAGCCGACGAACTGGGTCGAGGAGACATGCGGAAATAACTTTACAATAGTTAAGCTTTCACTTTCAGGTTTCTTGCCGAAACATGTCGCATTACAAAAGTGAAAGCGGTGGAAATCTTCCGAAAGCACTGTGCCGATTTGTCAAAATCCTGCCGACAGGGCCATACGTAACTTTCGGCAGTGGATGTATCGTTTTGCAAAGTGGACCACCTCCAAGTGCTGATTTAATAACTACGACTCAAGTTCTAACGAAGAATGATCTCTTGGGAGACAGTTCGATCTTTGTGCAGTTTGAAGATAACCAATGGTTCGAACTGAAATTAAAAAGCCAACATGCAGCCAATCTTCCAGATTCCAAACCCGGAAGAGTGTTGAGGGACATCAAAGATAACGAAGACCAAGTGTCGTTCCTACGCATTCCCGTAGACATATTCGACTCCAGGATGTGGCTAACTAGAAAAATAAGTCCTATGAAAAAACGTGCCCTTTCTTGCTTTTATCCCAGCGATGAGAATTTGGAGACTTCCATTTCAAACAAGAATATTACATGTTATGTTATTTCGGAAGACAGGATGAACCAGAGGTTTTACATCACCGAACCTTCCTACCTACGTTTTGGCAAAGATGCACATGAATTTGCCCTCTTGTCTGTCACCGATACCGATTGCGCAAGTCCAGCAAAGAATTTCAAAGACTTTGCTAAAGAGGAGAAGCCGAAAGGTGCTCCGCTCTTGGATGCCAAAGGAAGATTGGTAGGAATGCTGGCAGTAGCAAAGTCCGGAGAACGGAAAGTATTTCCTGTGTTCCTACCGACCTTGACAGGTGACAGCAACACTGATGGTCCAGGTAAGTTTACTATATTCTCTATATTTCTTTTGAAAAGCCTTTCCATTGGAGATCAAAACATAGCCAATACAGAGTAATCCTTTAAAATTAACTCGGGTTTAAGTGCGACGAGTTTAACTTAAGACGTGGCATTTTTTTTTTAAAATTGGATGAGTGCCTACGCATTCTTAAACACTGTTGAACTAAAAAATATTTTTCAAAAAGCAAAGCAAACTAGGCTGTTTAAAATCGAAGTTTCTTAAATATCAGAAACCCCTCAGATGGAAGCAATTTTCGACAATGCAACGACTACTGACTGCTCTTCGATGGTATTCGCTACAACAAAAAAAAAACTGTTGTGCTGCGTTGATTGGCAAGTGAAACACTAAGTTTTCTCACTACAATGAATTCAATTCGATTTAATTTAATTTGTTTCAGTTCATCAAAATCACTAGGTTACAACGTGGAGGACTAAAAGCCGGAGTCTTAAATGGCCTATACTAAGCGGTAAATAATTAAATGGTTAAAAATTAAATTAAACAGACTATACTCATTCATCAAACAGATAATTAAGACACACTAAGCAATCACTTAATTGACTTACAGAAACTTAGTTTCTAAAAAAATTAAGTTGAAAACACGAAGATAAGCTAAATCAAGCATAAGAGTTAATAAAAAATTTGACACATTTCTTTTAGTTTTAGATTTATTTGTATTTATCGTTATGATAAAACAGATATCTAACCTTTCACCGCCTTAAGTCACATATTTAGGAATACAATTTTTACTCATTACTGAAGTTATGCACTATTTACGGAATGTCGTTCCAAACATTAGGAGCTTGACAAGTTAGAGGAAATTGGTATGCGTATTGAAATTTGTTAAGGTTGTGTCAAGACTGAGTCACATAATTTTGATAGTCAGAGTTAGGATGTAGGAGTGAAGAAACAGGAGTGGGCAGAACACCATTGAGGTGTGAAAATACGAAAAACTAGACGTGGAATTTACAGATAGCGTGAAAAAGAAGGATATTAAGGTTAGAGAAGAGAGGTTTGGAGTGGGAATGAGGATGAGAAAAGGTGATTATGCCGGCTTGAATTTCCTTTGGCAAGTGAGGAGGTTCAAGATGAGTGGTGTATGTAGAGGCCCAGATCACATTGCAATAATTAACATAAGGGAGAAAGTGAGCATTTTGCAGGGTCTTCAAGTTCTCCGAAGGAAGATATTGTCAAGATTTGGACAGATTACCCATGACTTTGGAGACCTTATCCTTACCAGCAACAATGTGAGGTTTCCAGGAGAGATTTTAGTGGGTAATGATTCCAAGAAATAAGGGCTCATGGACGCGTTTAATGGATGTGTTACTAATCCAAATGTTGACTGTTGAGACCTTTCTCTATCGTGGGTGAAAATTGATAAAGTTGACAAAAGTAGATCAACAGTTACGGTGGTATTATGTCACAATTAAACTGTTGTTAAGTGTAACCATTCAAAACATATTTTGTAGGAGACGAGAAAAAAAGTAATACAGATACAGTGCCTGTCCAAAACACAATATTCAGACCTGGACCGGATAAAAAAGAGCAACATAATGATCATTCATCTATAAATCCACCATCAAAAGATTTTAGAAATGAATATAAGGGGGCACAAACCAGCACAACGGATAGGCAAGGGAGTGAGAGCAGAGGTAAGGGTAGTGACCTACAATACAAAACATTACATGCTGATTGAGATCAGCAAATAGACCACTGCTTACAGCAGTGAATTCATCAGGTAGTACTATTACTAGTAACAGTTCTAACCGAAGGAAGGACATTTACTAACCACTTCATGTCGATCTTGAATGGTGACAAAAAGTCTAAACTAGTCCAATTCTTTACACTACCTAGTCCTTCACCTCAATAGGATGCTGCAGGCCAACACAAATTATCTTTTACGGGTTATATGTTGAATATATGAGCAATAATTGAGCATAATGTGTTTGTACCAAGAGTTAAATAGAGATTTCTCAGAGACGTTTAGAGCAGTCTCATGAGAAAGACCAAAAAAGTTTTTGATTGATTTTCAGTTAAATGCTTCCCTCCATTTATACTTAGCATGCACGGTTGCATAAATACCACATTCCAAAGAAACAAAATTTTGAGATGACATTGGATATTGCTTGTGTAGTACTAAAGCTATGAAAACAGTAAAAGCCTTAATATTGGCTGATTAATCTAATCATCTCTTGTAAACAACAGCTGCTGGATCAAGCGTTAATTGAAACACTCTCACAGACAAGAATACTTTCTGTGACTATATTTTGAAATAAGTAATTCAACTTAAGCCTTCACTGCTTCACATCTTTATAATTTCTCTCAGTAAAAAGACTTGCAGCCTCAAATAAAGAAACACTTTCATTGCATCTTCAAAATGTTTAAATTTATGCACATGGAAATTTGACACACACGGGAGAACATTAATCACTGTTTTTTTAGACTGCCTGGGGAAGGCATTAATCATTCTGACTGGCATTACTCATGAATCTCTCAAGACTTTTCAGGAGCTCTTCAGCAACCCCACAAAGTGAAACCCAAAATACATCAAGATTTTCTAGAGTCTTTTTAAAGGACTTTATCAGCCTAATGCTTTGATAAAGAGAACATTAATACTGTTTGATTCAATACCACATTTTAGAAAAAAAGATTTGAAGTTAGCACCAACATTCCAACAAAAGATCAACAAATAGACTACTGCTTTAAGTAGTGAATCAAACAAATAGTACTATTACTAGTAACAGTTCTAACTAAGGGCATTTACGAACCACTTTATGTCCATCTTGAGTGGCAACAAAAAGTCTAAACTAATCCAACTCTTTGCACTAACTACAATACCTAGTCCTTCATCCTCAATAGGATGCTGCAGGCCAACACAAACTATCTTTTGTGTGTTATATGTTGAATATATGAACAATAATTGAGCATAATGTGTTTGTACCAAGAGATATTTGATTAAACATATGGGAAAAAAAAACTAAATGTTAACCCTTCAACTCCCAGAAGTGATTAACATGAAACTCCCTATAATATCCATTTATTATTCAGTAAACAGGTTATGAGAATATTCAAACTTATCAGGTAGAAGCTGCTATCTCAATCTAGCACCAAGTTCTCATAACTAATTTACAGGAAAATATGTAGTAGTTAGAGGGCAGAATTAACAATCAGACTTTGGGAGTTAAAGTTACTCAGTAAACAGGTTATGAGAATATTCAAACTCATCAGGTAGAAGCTGCTATCTTGATCTAGCACCAAGTTCTCATAACTAATTTACGGGGAAATGTGTAGCAGCTAGAGGGGACAATTAACAATCAGATCTTGGGAGTTAAAGTTTTAATTAAGTAAATTTTGTTTATTTTGGTACTAAAGGGCTGAGTTGCCTCCAACATGGTCTATCTTTGCACAAGTGACTTGTAACAAATTGTCAGTAAAGAAGATATCATGGATGTTCTTATCCTCCATCTGGACAGATCAGTCTGTCTTGCTCCTGGAGTTCCAGCCATTCAACGTTGGGAGCATCTTGCTGACCAGTTTAAGTTACCATACGATGTAAAGAGTCAATGTGCAAATTTCTCTGGAAAGCTGAGCTCAAGTGAATCATTGTTTGGACACTTACGTGTAACAAAAGACTCCCTTACAGTGGAAGAGGTCAAAAGCTGCCTCAAGAAACTGGAAAGAAATGATGTTGTTGCGGAGCTGGAGAAAAACAGTCACCTCAAAGGTAACCCTTTGGCACCCTTTGAAGCATATGTCTGTTTTTATCAACAATGTGAGACATTTTACATTGAGTTAGTGTACCTTCTCCCCAACTTTGGTTTTTTAACTCTTGACTATAGAGCGCCAAACCAGTCAATATTCCCTTTGTATTTCTGTGACCCAGTTTTCTTTTTAATTGGTCAACGTTGTACTTTTTATATGGTCAACTCGAGTTTTTACATGGTCAATGTTTTACTTTTTATATGGTCAACTCGAGTTTTTATAGGGTCAAGTTGACTTTTCATATGGTCAACTTTGTACTTTTTCTATGGTCAAGTCCAGTTTTTATATGGTCAAGTCGACTTTTTATACGGTCAACTTTGTACTTTTATACGGTCAACTTGAGTTTTTATATGGTGAAGTCGACTTTTCATATGGTCAACTTTGTACTTTTCATATGGTCAACTTTTTACTTTTTATATGTTCAAGTCGACTTTTTATATGGTCAAGTCGACTTTTCACATCGTTAACTTTTTACTTTTTATATCGGTCAGTGTAAAATGCAGACTGCAGACTTCAGACTGCAGACTGGAGGTAAAGTGCAGACTGAAGACTGCAGATCGGGGTAAAATGCCGACTCAGTTGACAATACAAGAAGTCGACTTGACCACATAAAAAGTCGACTTGACCATGTAAAAGTTGAACAAATAAAAAGTCGAGTAGACCATATAAAAAGTACAAATTGATCTTATTGAAAGAAAAAGTTGACCACATTAAAACTCAAGTTGACCATATAAAAAGTAAAAAAGACCGTATAAAAAGTCGAACTGACCATATAAAAAGTAAAGTGGGTCACATAAATACAGAGGGAATATTGAATGGCTTGGCGCCCCATACTGGACGCCATGATATTACGCAGCGGCTCGTGATCGGTTAATAATCAGAGGTTTTACAATTCTTGGCAACCTGTATCACCTTAAACTGGTGGGGCTTTAGAGCCATTGAAACGAAACAAAGCTTCGTGAAAACTGGAGCAGAATATTTTTAACAACTGACCTAAGAAACCAAATGCATAAACTAAACAATGGTTACCTAAAAAAATTAATCGTGATTTTTAATCCTGTTTCTTAAGACGAAAGTACAGTCACCGACCTTTATGAAAAGCATTCAGAAACCTTATGTAGTATATGCATGAAACTTGACGACAAGAGGAGCATAAGGAATTGGTACCATTTTGGAATTGAAATCGGTATTGAGACAGGCACCCTAAGAAGATTAAGAGACCCCTCTAGAGACAGTCCAAGTGAGATGGTCCTGAAAATAATCAAAACAAGAAAACCGCGTCATCCGTTGAAGACACTGGCAGCGGATATCAGCTTATCAGGTGTAACTGAAGCACTGGCTGCTTTCCCAGGTAGTTTACGATAACTCGTAATTTCAAAGCTACCCTATCTGAAGAGCCGCGTACTTCTCTACGTTTACTGTAATATGTGAAGCAGACGCTCTTGCGACTTATAAAATTGCCCCTACCAACTCGACCTTTTGTATTCAAGTATGAATGTTGCTTATTTAAGATTTTTATTCTTTGACCCAAATGCCCAAACAGCGTGTGTAATGGCAGGTGTTTTGATCAATACTTGTTTCTTTCTTCGCTTCTTTGACACAGATAACAGCACTATCGAAACATTGCTTGGTAACATGGACGCCATGCAAAACGTAACGGCATTATTGGACCTTAATAGAAAGTGGCAAAATGTTGGTCAGCATTATGACATCGACCAGAGAATCCTTGATAACTTAAAGCCAAGTGATTTCCAGAGTCCAACAAAAACCGTGCTAGAATACATTGTCAACAGGGAACCAACCGTAACCATGGATACCTTCCTGAGGTTTCTACAAAACATAGATCGCTCCGATGTTATAGATGACCTAAAAGAGTTTTTCTATGGTAAGATTATTCTTCCAAGTTTACTGAAACGAACGCATATACAAAGATACCTACTAGAGTTCTATAGTAATTGCTACATTCTACCAATTATAAAAAAAAAAATCAACATCAAAAAGTATGTAGGGATTAAGTTTCTTAAGATGCTGTGGTGCTGCGGTGGGAAGTATGGAGAGATTCTAAAGATGACGTTTCGGCAAATGTTCTTCATCAGAGCACTCTGACGAAGGGCTAACGTTTGAAACGACAGCTTTGGAATTTCTTATCGGTGGCCAATTTACATTATCAGCTCTGTTAATAACACAAAGTGATCTTGTAACATCAAAAAGATCCCATAAGAACTCAAAGTATTTAAATGCATTTACACTGGACTCGAAAAATGCAGCTGACAACTGGGACTTAACTCATTTGTTTGCTCTTAACCCTTTACACCCTAAGATCAGTATTCATATTCTTCATACTGTTCTCTGTACATTTACCAAGGTGCTGACAAGGAGAATTTGTCTAACAATCAAGAGTTTCTTTAGTTGGTGATCATTTCCTTTATTCTCATGACCTTTATGTGTGATTCAGTGGTGATATTGTAAGGAGAAATTAGATGCTAGTCACTCTTATGGGTTAAAGGATTAAAGTATGAGAACAGAAATCGTAGCCAATGGTTAATATCTTCCAAAAGGTATTTTGAACATTAGGTGGTATTTTTGCCAAGGTGTTGCATATTAAAGGCTTTCGTCTTCGATCTTTGATTTATCGGATTTGATTGGAGTATAAAAGAACAATTTTTTTCTGTGAGGTTGTAACCAATTACGCGCGATAAGTACGAATAGTTTTTGAAATGTTCATTATTACTATTATGATTATTATTATTATTTCCAGCTGATGACATTGAGAAAATCCTGCAGGCGGGAGGACCTCTACCTTCATGATTTGGCAGAGGTGGAACTATTGGCTTTTCAAATCTTCATAGTTGGAAACAAGACAGTGGTTTTGAAAACAACCAAGTTCTGAGTATATTCTTATTACAATGGCAGATTTTATGACACACAAGGTTACTGTAAGGATCATCCATAAAGTTCTTACCATTGTTTGCCCAAATACTTTCGATCGTCTGTCTGAATAGTAGTCTCTTTCTGGCACAAAACGGCTTGCGTCACACTGTAATAGGATGTAAAAGATGCGCGGTTTTTTTTTTTTTTTAATTCCACGCTTTTTCATTCCCGAGTCTATGATGAAATCCAAGGTAGCACGGGTAATGAGACAAAAGCGACAGAAAGAGCGAATAAACGTGACAGTGTAACAACTCGTAGTGTGAAGCTGTAGCAAAATGATGTATTGTTGTTGTATCGAAAAGACGCTAACCTTGGTGTAAAGCAAGGTTGCTTATAATTTTTTTTACCATTTTACCACGCTTTTTCATTCCCGAGTCTATGATGAAATCCAAGGTAGCACGGGTAATGAGACAAAAGCGACAGAAAGAGCGAATAAACGTGACAGTGTAACAAATCGTAGTGTGAAGCTGTAGCAAAATGATGTATTGTTGTTGTATCGAAAAGACGCTAACCTTGGTGTAAAGCAAGGTTGCTTATAATTTTTTTTATGTAGGGTGTAAAATTGCTTCGGTTCTTAATTCGCAATAAGTAGACTTGTGGGTTTAACTTACTATTTCAGCTCACCAGATTACATGATACAATTGTATTGGACCTCAGTGCATCATTAATTAAAATATATCACTGATTAAAGTTAAGAAAAAGAGGTAGCCTCTATGTTTCCGACTCATGGGCACCGCTTCACCGCCCTAAAATTTGTCCCCTTGTGAGCTCTAGCTCTGATAGTTCGAGCGCCAGAGACAATGATAACCTTTTTATTTGGACTCAAATAACTGCAAGTTAACTAAAGAGATCAATTACCTGCCAAGAACACTTCAGAAACATCAGTTGGTTTTAAAATAGTGAGCTTTTCCACCAGAGTTGTCAGCAGTTACGTCCCATGTCCCTCATTTCCGTGTCCTTACCCCTTTTGCAAGAAAATAGAGACTCAATAATCTTAGCTTTAGGTTGCATTAGTATACGAGTCAATTTGTGGTCTATACTGTCATGATTAACCCTCCTCGTGGCTGACAAAACAAGACCTTTGAAATATCAGTGATACCATTCTTTTTTACTGAGGACAATAAAAATTTCATTTGTCGCATTTTCCGTTGTCATGGCTGATGCTTTCATTACGTTCTCCTAAAGTCCGAAAAAGAGCGCGTAGTTTCATGAAGTGAATATTCGGAAAAAATCGCTCAAATTTAACTCACGTTTACAACAGGGTTAAACTAAACGAAAGAGGTATGCACAAGGCATACGAATATCAAGACACGAAGCCGGAATATTTCAGAAGTAAAAGAATCTTAACAACTTTTTTTCTAACGATTTTTAACGCACAGCGTGTACTCGGCGTCTTTGCAAATAGTGAATACGCTTACCGCACCACTCTTTTACGTTCTTTAAACATCATTTTCTTAATTCCTCACTGAAAATAACACGTTCGAGCTCCGCCGACGCACAGCCAAGCCGAGACAGCAAAACCAAGTAAAAAAACTCTAGGCGCGAAACTGGGCACCAGGGCCTTCGCAGTTTAAGCCCGCGAAGACCCGTCAACAAGGAAGTGATTCCTTGGCCTGCTTCTTGCAAAAATTAAGAGTCGTTCACTTGTGTTTTCAATCCTTCTTTCTTAGAATGGCACAAAGAGAAAGGGATATAATGAGCTCTGGGTCGAAAATTACACAACAAGCTCCTGGACGTCCGTCCGTGACAACTGGAAGTGCGTGGATTTTAGACGGACCCTTTCCAATTGACGACGGCAATCTTTACTAAACATCTGAACAAACACCGATTAACCAAACGTTCTTGGTTACTACCAACCAAGTGATAAGACCAAGATGGGGCAAAACAAGTTGGCAACCTGAATTTGCCCCACGTAAATGGCTTGGTACGTTCAAAACCGACGAGTGTTACAGCATAGAGAGTGATGCATTTTATGAAGTCCCAGCTTCTGATGGCAACACCAAGTTAATCCTGATACCAACAGAATATTTGCACGAGCAGAAAACTCTTTCAGGGTGGCGAGATAACGAATT